GGGGGGGGGGGGGGGGGGGGGGGGGAAGACGTGGGACTATCGTATTACGTGCAGCCGATGGGCCCCAGGAAGTCTGACCAAATGGCACACAAGTGCAAAGTGGGGGATAGAGAGAGAAATAAGAACACGTTTTCACTGATGTGGGGAGGAGAGAGATGGGTAGATCACTCAGTGAGGAAGCTGCCCCTTCAAGGATGCCAACGATCGATATAGAACCCTCGTCTCAGCTCGTCCGCTGTGCCATCGTCGTAGGCAATATTTGCGCGGTCCAAATGCCTCATCATCAAGTAATTGATAATTTTCACAGAAAAATTGAGCGCCAGATTGTCACGTGAACGTGAAAAATAATGAATTTATGGAATACGTGACACGTGTGATAAATGAAAAATTCTTAAATGACGATTAAATAGAATGCTCTTGATGACGGCGTCTGGACTCTGAACAAAATGTCGCCTTGTTGCGCACCGTTGGCCTTCGGTTTGGTTGGATTGTACCGTCGTCACCGACTCTACCGAGCCAGGCCGACCTCGCTTCATGCTGTGTTCGCTGGCCAGTTGGTAATCGTTATATACATACAAACGAAACAAAACCGACACAAGTCCAAGTGCCGCGCCTCAGCCAATTCCGCCTTGCACGAGTACAGAACCATCATCGTTACTGTTTAAACATAATCAATCTGTCTCTGTCGTGCCCACTGACTTGTTTTTCCCCCAGTGCCCATTGGGCGCTCAACAAAACTAAGATATTGCGTACATTGGACATGCCCCAAGTGTCCTCGAGTCACCACCTCACTGATGCTTTTACCCATTCGAAAGTCCAAAGGTGCTGATTAAATCGAGGACAGGGACGTGGGGGAGATTGGGCGACGAAAAGCCCAGACGACGATGCACGATATTGCTATCGCAATAAAACCTCAGTTATCACTGTTAATGACTCACCTTGAAGGGAAGACACGTCTGGATCTTGTCGACTAGCTGACGATTCTTGCCCTCCTGTCCGAATATATCCATTTTTACAGCGTCGTAGGAGGCACACAGCCTGCACAATTCGTCGTAACGCTCCCTCGACTCCATCTTCGTATTATTCACTTATTTGTTTGTAATTGTTTTGCACTCGGTGGATTTCCTTTGTTTTTTTATACAAATTTTTAACTTGAAAAACTCTCCTCGCACTCGGGCTGATCAATTAGTTGTCGTCTTAGTCGTCGTGATATGAATTGAGGTCTCGACGATGACGTGAGCCTGGCGAACACTCCCGTCCAACTCAGCTTGTCTTCCTCGTGGTTGAGGCACCGAGTAATTCACTCCACCCGCCGCACGCTCCTGCCTCCACCACTCTCCGGTCTCAATTACTCTATCTCTCTCGGGTCTTTTGCCAACCCTGGGCACAACTCACGACGGCCTCTTCCCGAGGGCCCCCCTCGTCGCCCCACGATCATCACATTTTAGTCAGTTGTTTGGGAATTTTTATTCGTTGAGGATTTTAGTCGACGTGGTGGAACACTTTCGCGGGCGGTGATAAAGAAATAATCACTATTTTTGTTTGTTATTTCACGGGGGAATGAGTACGTCGGGGGACTCTCGGAGACACTGACACGACACCCGAGGCCTTTATCGCACCAGGCGAAGTACACACACACACGTGGGAAAATTAGTGGTGGGTGTGTGTTGACGGTAGGGAGGTTGGAGACCGTCGGACGACAAACGTTTATCCGCGTCCCCAGGGCAATCTCGGACACTGCATGCCGATCTTCGTCACTGCGGGACACCCGGGCGCCGCCATCTTGTATACAGTGATGGGTATGTTTACAATGGGAGGCAGGAGCGCCACTGCTGGGTCACCGGTGGTGCGGTGCGGTGTTCCAGGTGTTTCGGGTTGAGGAGGAATGGTGATTTTTTTTCGGGCGAACTGAACATTTGGGGGGTTTGGGGGCGATTTGCTTTGGTTTCTTCGGCGGGTTCCTTCATTTTACGGAGGTACTGGGGGGAAAGCGATTTTTCGACGGAAATTTACTTGAATTTTTGAATAAGGTTGACGGGCGCTGATGATGATTGTTATTTTTGATTGTTCGGGTATCGAGCGGCTAGATCTTCGCCCCGGAAAATTTGAATTACTCAACTGGGAATTTCATCTACAAAAGGATGTCATTCGTAAAGCGAGAACCTTGCGGATTTTTAAGTTGAAAATGCAAATAAAATGAAGGATTACTATTAACTTTTTTTTAAATTTGATCAATGCCACTGGAATTACATTTTGGGAGAAATTATTCTCTTTTTTCAATTGTTTTGTTATAGATAACAAATGGAAATTGTTGAAATGGCTATTGAAATTCAATAAGAAGAATTCTATTCTATTGAAGTATCGATAAAATTCTATTAAACAATTATATCATTTTTTTGCGGCAATTCTTTTAAACATTAGTCAATTTTGCCACGCTCGTTTTTAAGCGATATATTAGTAGAAAAAAAAGTCAATAGATTTTGATTTTTCTACAGAATTTTCTTGCATGGCTACAAATTTTTAGAATTTTTTCAGCTGTATTAATTGTTTATTAAAAAATCCAAGACTAAAAAACTTGAAAAATTCATGTCCTAAAGAAAGTACTCGAATATTCATTCTACTCATTTTGTATACTCAGTAGACAAAGCCGCATTTAATTGAAAATTAATTTTAATTTTTAAATAATACCTTTAATTTTTTTGTCATCACTGTTGCACAACTATATCTTTTTCTCCAAAGAATTGAAATCACACTATAATCGTATGTAAATATCTCATATTCCCATAAGCAAAATAAGAGATTCCAGAATTTTCCGTTTAAAAATGCAAATGAAATGAATTGCATTTTCGTTTCCTTCCCAATAATTTTCCTCTATTGATTTCCATCCATTAAATCAATTTTTCATCAATTGTTTTTCAATTGCAATAATAAATTCTATACCCTTAATAAATATGTCATATTTACATAACAAAAATTCGAAATTCCATAACATTCCTCTCAAAAATGCAAATGAAATGAACTGCATTTTCTTTTTCTTCCCAATATTTTCCTCGATTGATTCCCAATTTTTAAATCAACAATTCCACCTTTCGCACGTTCAACATTAAAATCCTCCATTCATTCAACCAAAAATCAATCATTCATGAATACTTTTTCAATTGCAACAATAAATACTCTATTATTTCCTCACTTGATCACCTTTCCCCCCATCTGATTTAAACTCTCAGTTACTAATGAGTTCCCAAGAGGCCGCGATATTCCGGGCAAAAAATCACAGTCCAAAAGACGAAAAACTTCTCGCCCAATGAGAAAACTCCTTCCCCAAGACCCGAGGGCAAAAATAATTGATCGTACGACACTGTAGCACAGCGCCACCGCAATATAGAGCCCTGCAAGCCCACGACATTTCCAAAATGGCGGTGACTAAGTGCTTCTCATTGGAGGTGTCGCAAAGCCGAGAATAGTGCCGTGTTATCGTGAAAAAACAGTTCCCCACAGTCCTAAGTTGCTTGATAAAACAACTGACACTCGCACTCGACTCACCGCGTGTTCCTCACTCGGTCGAGGCGTCCCAGAGGAGGAATAAAGGACACTAATCAGGACTCAATTTTTTCGAGACAATTACTTTTTATTGCAATTTTTCGAGGACTCGTCGGGTTTAAATTCAGTGAGTGGGAAGACATTTGGACAAATCTGCAGGTGATTAATCATGCAAGCACCCCAACAGAATCAACAGGGACATCAGCAAATCGCTGGTGCCAGTGTTATACTCAAGATGAACGAAATACAGCAGCTGTCAACAGTCGGTATGTGAATTTTTAAATGAAAAATTTATTTTTATCACTCGTCATACCAGCTAAAAAAATCATTAATTTTTTTCTCCAACTTACAATCAATACTGGATCACTAGATATTATTGATTTTATTGATTTTTCTGGAGTATTAGAACTAAGTCACGAATATAACATCATTTCCTCATCTAGAGAGGATCAATCAACCATTTTTAATCGTCAGTAGCTCGAGAGCAGCCGAGTAAAATCCAACGATTTTTTTTTCATTTTGAAGGTATTTTTGCCAGCTTCAAAATGAGACTTCATTCATTCAAATCGTAGTTTAATGTCAGCCGATATTGATGATCAGATTTTGTCACCAAGGAGGGCGAATTTTCCCATTCTCATTTCATTGAAAGGTTGGGTATGAAAACGGTTATAATAGAAGGATTGAAAGGTTTTAGATGAGTAAAGGATCCCTCTGATGCCTGAGGACTCTCACATTGGTTCCCAGCTCGAGCACGTGCTTTTGTATTGATCCCCCTTTAGCTGGGTTGTGCGGAAACTAGAGAAAAGAGCCGTAAGAAATGGCCGATGGATTAAACCGAACGGATATTACTCGTGCACTCTAATGAAAACGAAGATTAACCAAATCCTCTTAATAGTTTTTCATCAACAATACTAATGAGGATGATAGGATACGACTTGTTTTTTTCCTTCTGTGCTATTATCACTCCGATGTAGGCGGGAATTACCTTGACCCCAGATGACAAGACGCATTGAACGGAAAAAATCACCCCCGTTCGTTGCAAAATCGTGGAAAATTCTGGAATAAAAGGCAGCGATAGTCTCCCATTTTTATCTTCAATTCCTAGGGTAAACTGCCCAGTAAATGGACGCCTGAGAAAACCGCCCTGTAGATGGACGTTTGTTTTTTAGCAATCGAAAAAAAAAATTGATCGAAAAAAAATCGTCACTCAGGGGTTAAGAATCACATCAGTTAGTGGAAGTTCAAAGCAACAATTCACATTTCAGTATTTTTTCGCGTAATTTACTATCCAACAGTAGCTCGTCCATCTGTAGGGCAGTGTTCATCTACTGGGTAGCTTACCCTACGTACAATTAAAAATTAAGGGGGAATTTTATTTCGGGAGCCGAGCGAAAAATTCCCCTCAGGGGCAGCAACAGGCTCGCATTGTATTGGTTTGTGCAACAAAGGACGTGAGGAAGGGTCCTATATCTTTGTTCTCTTTTTCTTTGTTCCCTCCTTGTCCCTTTTGATTGACCATAGTCTCCGGATTTTTTTCCCTGTGAAAAATACCTCTGAGAAAAATCCCCGGAAAATTTGTCTCCAAGAAAAAATCCATGTAAAATTTCCTTGGAGAATATGAAATCAGACGCATTCGAACACAACATCAATTCGTCTTTATTTAATGTAATATCCATTGTTTTCTGGAAGTCGACAATTTCTACACATCGTGAATAATTTACCCTTTCGTCAAAATAGGATTCAATTCTTCAACCAGAAGATCTACAACCAGGCAAAATTACTTACACTCCAACAAACTAAAATTATTAATTTTTAATATGATCAGCAACATACAAAAAATTGAATGTGAATTTAAAATTTGCATATCAACATTGGTCGATAAACAATTAATTGATTAAATCTCGAATGAAAAAAAAAAGATTTTTGTCATTAATTTCTTCATTTTTCTCCTTTTAAAAAAAAAAGAAGAATTTCAAGTAGCATTTTCTGAAGAAAAACGCCACACAAAATTCGACATGAAAAAAATTTGTAAGGAAAATTAATTTCAATGAGAACAAATCATCGAGAATGGATTGACGTGGAAAAAATTTCCGGAATTTTTTAAGGGGGAAAAAATTCAGAAAATTTTTCAACGGGAAAAAAAACTCGGGGCACCTTGGTGTGTGCAACAAAGGACACGACGGAGAGTCCTACATCTTTGTTCTCTTTTCCTTGTTCCCCCTTCTCCCTTTTGATTGCCACAACTTCCTCGAAAAACCGATGGAATATTCCACTGCCTGGCATTTCCATCTGCCATCCAGACCAACTGCCAACCCCTGAAACCCTTCGTCGACGCCAGGAGTGTAATATTATTCTCACTTGGGTTTATTCATTGGTTCCATGAGTTAAAATGCCTCGGAGATATTAAAAAAAAATCATTTCACGCAGGGGAAGTATTTTTTTGGTATTTAGAAAGGGCTCGGATCTCCTGGGGAGGATGTGGACCTCTCCTAGATTTTTCAAAATCATTTTTAATTTCGTTTAAAGTGGCTGAAAAGGTCAGGGCGCGTTGGATTGATACTCACGTTCCTGATGGTTTTCCCCTCCCGCCCGCTTTATCGCATTTACCTTTCCCCTACCACCAAAACTAATATATATATGCATCAGTATAGAATTTAGCAGCGTGAAACCTGGACCGCATTGAGCAGGAAAAGATTACGTGGTTGCGAACGAGTTGAATAGTGTTTCGGAAACGTTTGACACATCTTCGGTTTCAGTTCAAGTTTGGTTTGGGGACAAGTCGCGATAATATCCTCAAATAGGAGTATTGAATGTACTGGTTTTTGCGAGTGACATCCTCTGTTTTCGTTAGCAACAACGTGGTTTTAATCGGGAAGAACTGACCGTAGGAGGATGAATTGTGGACAGATGTCGGGTGTTAATGTTATTGTCAATGGAGGGAATAAAGGGATTAGTGGGGGGTATATTGATAATGGATCGAGTGGCTGGCAGAGAGGACAGAATATCCTTGTCGTTACGCAGGAGGGAGACAAAGACAGCATTAATGGCGAGCAGACTCTAACGCTCGCTGTCGATACTTATTGTTAGTAAATTTAAGGGTGGCATTTACTTGAAATAGTTAAGGAATTGTCGTTTGAATTTTCATTGATGATTAGTTTTTCTTATTTTACTTGAGGGGAGACTACTATGAGTTTTAAAAGTCGCTGTTGGAGTGAGATTTTTCACGCATTCAAGATCAATTATGTATGTCTAAAATCGAA